CTAGGATTTGGGTTTTAAAGTGAGTAAGGGAGCGAAGAAGATGGGAGAGTTGTTACAGAAAGGTTTTAACCATGTTGAGATTCACAAAGATTTAAAAAGCTGACGTATCACTCAAGGTTAGATATACAATATAGGATTATAATACCCAGTAGGCTTTTTAACAGCATACCAACGGTCATTAAAATTCAAAGTTTATTTTAAAAAATAAAGAATTGATTTCAAGTTGCTGATAAAACAATGTTTCCACAGAAGTGCTTGATAATTGATGGATTTTAATGATTGATCTCCAAAAATGGCTTTAATATTGTGAGAGATCTCTACTGCAAGATAAGGTTTTGAAACAAAGCATATCTTCGTTAATAAAAACAAAGTTGATCCACAGTGTTTGCATGTCTACTCTAAGCTTCATTCTGCCACATTGTCAGCGCGTTATAGTCCCTAGATTTTCAGTTTGCCTGAAATAAGATGGTTGTATCTCAAAGTACTATTGATCCTAACAATTACCAACTTAATTTACTCGTACCTTCTTGTTTTTGCGTTCTTATTTCACTATATTTACTTAAAGCGTAAATGTGTAGCATTGATAGGCGGCACTTTTATTCGTATTATGCTTTTTAAAAAAACACCCAAAATAACAAAATAACAAAGAATTTGTTCTAATCCAACTATTTGAGCCCAGACTTTATTACAGTAGCCTGCAGGCTTAAATACGATGCATACTGTACACAATTTGAGGTCAAAACTTGTGTACTATTTAAGCTGTCGCTTGCATCCGCTGTTTGAGCCCCATTGTTGTGTTCTGTTGGAAGAATTTTGTCAAATAGATTGCTTCCATCAGATTCACCACAAGCCTTTCACTGAAAAATCGTATTTTTAAAGGAATATAGGTTTTTTCATTGTAATGCGATTTAGTAAAGGGCATGCCTCGATTTGTGTTTATCGTCGCGTTCAGGCAAAAATTCCACAATCTCTGTGGCTAAAAGTTTCGACAAATCTAAGGTCAAAACTGCCCGCAAGAATTCATTTGCTCTGATTCCGTGCTCTTCAGGGGTGCCAACAGCAGGCGCATCAGATACATCAAACCCGTCGATGTCAATAGACATCCCGAATCCATAT